TGTTTGCTGCTAGTTATAGCCCAGAAGTGCTTCAGTGCAGGATGCTCAAACCAGTAGCTTACCTGAGATAAACCACCACCTCACACTGCTGTGCAATTAAACCTTTTAAAATTCCACCACTCTAGCTGTGGCTAGAGTGTAGGGGCAAAAGTCTGCAATAACTTGATAAAACATATTTACTTCTAGAAATAGCGCTAGCAGTCTTTGTCTAGCTTGTGACAGAACGTATTAGGTGAAATGGTAAAATGGAAATACCAGTTAGTGAGCTGCAAGGTAACTCAAGTCAAGAGGAAGCTATCTCAAACACCAGAGCTGTGGTTCAGAGTCTGGTCCCTTCAGTTTACTGCTAGTGACATTTTTCTTCCCATTTGAGTAAATAGACTTTTGTTTTTTGGTGGCTGTGGCACATAATACCAGCCTTTGAAATGCTGATTGCACAGCCAAAGTTAACAGAAACAGCTGCAAAACAAGATGTCATTATCTCTGGGTCTTGCTCCGAGTGAGCTACAAGTGAGCTGCCATCTGCAAAGAGCAGTTCTTTAATAAGGGGACTTCTGAAACCTTTGTTTCTGCATATAAACAAGCCAAATTACAAATATCGCCTGGGGAAATCTGAAACCTGACTCTCAGACTGTGAATTTATTTGACCTATTGCTACAGCAAATATAAAATCTCTGTAATAATGAGATGCTGTGGTTCTACTCACCTTTTGCAAGCCCAAAAGATGCTTCATCTCTTCATCCAAATAGCAAATTCAGGAGTATCACTTCTTCAGCTTATTTATTTCATGCCAAAAAGGATCAGTTAGCTTAAAAAAAAAAAAAAAGAAAAAGAACTAGGTCTTCTAGATAGCAGCATAGAAAGTTATATTTCATTTTTTTTCATTCTTTAAACTCTTCCTAATAATGTCAAATAGCACTAGAACCCATTATAATTAAAAGCATTGTTAAGGTTTTATAAGAACCACAGTATTGCACAATTGCACATTGACAAAAAAACTCAAACTAGTGTATTCCTTGAAGCTCATATAAATATACAGTCATATCTGTAATTATAGCAGACTTTCCTAATCCATTGCTTTCTTGATGGTACAAACGTTGCTATTGCTACATTGCTGCTTGCAGGGAAAAAAAAAGAATTACACAGTCAGTGGCTCAGTCTCATTTTAAATAATTATTTTTGTACTATATTAAAGCAACATTGTAGAAATAGCAGATCATGACTTTCTGATCAACTTCAAGACATTGACTATTGGTTTGTTATAATTATAGCCTTTTTTAAGATAAATGTGGGCAAAATCTACAATTAATAGAATGTAATCTGAAAGGCATAATGACAATAACAAATTCTAAATATCTATCTTTCTACAGGTAAAATGGAAAACAGGTTATCCTGTCAACTTCGCTCTAGTCATTTAGACAAAATATTGGAAAAGAAGGAACTTAGCTGAAGGTTCATTAAAGTCAATGGGAATCCTGACATTAGGAGCATTAAATGGTAGATAAGACAATATTGTTAGATTTATATAGAATCCCTGTAACAAAAAAGTTTCTCACTTCCGTTGTGTTCTAGATTTTTGCAAATTGTTTCATAATACTCTTTCCCATCCAGTCTTTTTTGGTTTTGGTTTTGGTTTTTTCCAAACTCAGATAATTCATGGGGAAAAAAATGACAAATTATGAATTTAAGTCTTAATAAAAAAGCAAGAGATTAAAGATTAAGGGGAAATTGTTTGGGATAAGATATGTGAAGAATTACGGAACAAGAGATATGAACAGAGAGTAAAAGGCCTGGAAGAAAAGAAAAAAAAAGTAATTGGACACAGATGCAGGGGCTCCAAAGTGGGCACAAGGATTAGGAACAGTGGTCTGAGCAGAATAATTGATCAGCTATCGAAAGAAATTGAATTTATAAACAAGAGCTCAAAGAACAATGAGGGATGGTTTAAGTGCAGGAAACTGGTAAATATGAATGACTGGGCTTGTTCAGAGCTGTGGAAAACACTAAGAAAGTCATAGAAAGCTGAAACCCTTTACTCATTTCAACATATTACGCACAGCGTTTTCTAGCTTATAAAAGTGTTTGCTGTCATACTTTTCTTCTGACATGTGGATAAAGAAAAAATCTTTTCATTCTGATACATTATCCCTTCTAGGTAGAACATCCACATATACTACCTATGGACTTACTAAAGCTTTGGGAGAGGAAACTTGCATTAATGGTTTTCACAGCTTTTCACAAAGTAAAAATCTCTTCTTAATTTTATGCATGTACTGAAGACTTAATGGTCTGAGTGTAAGCTCAAAAAAAATGAGCTTAATTTTATGGGGTTTTAGAATATTTCCTAAACAAGGAGGCTTTCATGAGTTGAGGCCTTTGAATGGAACTGACACTCTTTAAAGCTGTAGGAAGGTAACTAAAGTTTTTAAGCACTGCAATTAACCGATAACCTAAAGAATAATAAGGTATTTTCTTTATGGAAAAATCATCACTTCGCACACCCCATTAAGAAATTCAAAACGGATCAAGTATGCAATTCCACCTTGTTATCCTTCAACACTCACCTTCAGCCCTTCTGTAGAACAGTATCTAATTAAACTTACTTTTTTATCCCTTTAAAATCTGCAAAAATGCATACAAAACTCAAAAACTACAAAAACTACAGACTACAAAATTATCTTTCGCTAGTAAAGGAATTCCCTAGGAACAGGAAAGAACAAAGAATATTAAAAGCATTATCTGCTGTTCATTGTATCCAGCACACACCCTGTTAAATGGCCATTGGTATGGGAGTAGCAGGAAAACAGCACGTATTTCTCTGCTTTAGGTAACACAATCATCAATGAATTCTCTGATTGCTTTTACTATTTACTTTTATTTGGATTTGGTTTGGACTTTTTGATAGCAAAGCATGATCTTCTCAGAGTGTCTCCTATGGGTCTATACTCTTGGAAGATAAGAATATCTAATAAACACATTTGTCACATTCTTATGAGAATGGATACCCTACCTCAGTCCAGGATATGGACTGCATAAAGGTAAGACTTATTGTGAGCAATGAAATTGAATTTGAGGCATATTCAATACTGTTATCACTTTCAAAAATATTTTTTATCATTTCATTATTCTTCTAAGCTCTCCTTTCAAAGAAAAGTGGAAGCCAAATTTCGATAAAGACTTTCAAGTTACCATCCACTCAAAAAGACATATAACTCCGAATTACACTTACCTCTTTATTTGGGTCTGTAACTAAAAATGGCCTGATTTTCTGAGGGCAAGATTGTGAATGTAGGTAATATTTTTTATTAGAAGACATGAGATATTTGGAATAAATAACTTTTCAAGGCTCTCAAGCTTTTCAAGTCCTGAACAGAAGGTTAAACATCAAGCTAAATAGCAGTGGCTCTTAGTTTAATTATTTTAATTAGCTGGACAGTTCAAGAGAAGAACCCAGTTGGAGCAGGGGTGGGGTGGGTGCCAGGGAAGAGATATGGACATTTGTAAGACAAAGAGATCAGCTTAGTTTTGTGTGTGCAAAATTGAAGGGTTACCTTGGAGTGGAATGTGCTATAAGCATTTTTGTTTAGCCTGTAACTTTCAGTATCAAGCAGAGTTATGACTTTCAGTTCTCCGTGAACTGATTTCCCCTCCATGAATATTAAGCCTGAAGAAAACAGGAACGGTGGTTTTGTGAGGAGTGACTTTCAGGGAGGTTAACATTGACTTTGGTTCTCATGATTAGAAATTAGAAGCATTTCTCCTAGCAATTAAAAAAAAATAAAATAAATATAAAAAACCCCCATACTGTTAAATTAAGCGTGCCTTGATAGATTCATGGGAGCTGAGATGTCTCAGATTTTTCTATGCTCTTTGCTCTATGTCTATGTCTAGACATGTCTATGCTCTATGTCTAGAAGCTGCCCTTCTAGACAGCTTTCAATACCTACTAACATCTGTGTAGTTTTGGTCTCAAATTTCATAGCACTTTCAGGTCTATATGTAATATAAAGGAGTCTGGATCAATTTTGTGAACGGAATTAATATGGAGTTTTGGCAGGGCACAGTACCATCTTTTATCCATCCCTGTGCCTTTTCGTACCATCTTGCCAGACTGTTTTGGCTGAGTGATAAATGCAGCAATGTGTTCTCTCTTGAGTTATTAACATTTCTGGATTTGTGGCATGATTTGACAGGATCCAGATGCCAAATATGTATTTTTCCAGTGCTTTTGCCTTCAGGCATATCAGACTCCGGACATTCTAGGTGCAGTAGGCAAGCTAAGTAAAGTTTCCTCTTGAGCCAGCACTGGAAACTGGAATTTGGAAAGCTGGGAGAAAGACAGCTGGCAAGATCTGGCAGGATTCGGGATTCAAAGAGATTTTCAGGGCAGGCTGCTCTTCATTTTGGAGCCCATGACTGGCAGATCCGTGTCGGTTTTTTATCTAGGCATCGAGCTTCAGGTGCTGCCATCAAAACGAAAGTTTCTTGGGCTCTAAACCCTTGGCTGTCAGTCCTGTGCAGCGAGGAAAACGCAGCACGGGGTGGTGCTTTGCACGCTCATCCTTTATTCCATACAGGACACACCTACGTGGCGCGTTGTGAAACCCCCTCCGCCCGAGGGGCTCCCCGGGGGTCCCCCCCGCCCGCTCCCCGCCGCGAGGCGCCCGCGGGGCCGCGCGCGTCGCCGGCGGCCGAGCCCTGCGGAGCATCCGCGCGCGCGGGAGCCGCTGCCGGGCGCTCGGCGGGCGGCCGCGCCGCTCCGTGACTCACCCGCCGGCGCCGAGCGCGGAAACTCCCGCAGCCGCCGGGCTCCGGAGTCAGAGCGCATGTGCGCTCCCTGCCTCTGCTCCGCTCCGCTCCGCTCCGCTCGCCTCTCCACGCCTCGCATCCCTCCCTCGCTCCCTCCCTCGCTGCCTCCCTCTCCCTGGCGCCCGGGTGCTGAAGTTGGGCGGATGGCAGCCGAGCAGCTCGGCTAGGCACGAGCCGCACGAGCCTTGCCGCGGGAGCGCGCCGCGCGTCGCACACGCAGCCGGGCGGCGGTGGGTAAGGCGGCCCGCTTTTATTTTAAGCCCGAACCTCGCGGAACGGCATCAAAATGTCTGCTTTATGCCGATGCATGGAGCGGGAGAAAAAAAAAAAAAAAAAAAAAAAAGGAAAAAACGGGAGGGGATGAGGGGAGGAAGAGGAGGGAGTGAGGGAGGATGGATGGAGGGCGGCGGAGAGTGCGGATGAAAATGCACTCGCCGGAGGGACTGTGCGTGTGTGTCAGTGTGTCTGGGTGTGTGTCAGTGTGTCCGGGTGTGCAACAACGGGCGGCCGCGGCGGCCCCGACTGCGGCGCCGAGGCTGCAAGGTGGAGCGTGTATGTGTCTGTGTGCGTGCATGTGTGCATGGGTGTGCGCGCCCCGCGCTCCTCGCTGCGCGCCCGCGGAGCACAAAGGGCTGGGAGCGGTGCCCGGCCGCGGGGCGGGCGCGGGCGCTGCGCGGCCCGGGGGGCCGCGGGAGGCCCGGCCGCCCCGGGGGGAGCCGAGGGGCACGGGCTGGCGGGGGGCAGCCGCCTTCCTGCCGACGGGGCTCCTCCTGCCGCCCCTCTCGGCCGCGCTCCTCTTTGCCCCCTCCATAACGCCGCGCCACTGGCGGGGGGTGCTGTTATTATTGCTATAATTCTCCTAGGAGGAAGGTGAGGGCGAGCAAGCGAGTCCTTGCTGCAGATGAGGAGTTGCCTTCCCTTCTGCCTTCCTCCTCCTCCAGCCGCCCGGGCCGGGCCGTGGGGAGGCGGCGGCTGCCGGGGGCTGCCGCGGCCCCAGTCCCCGCGCCCCTCTGCGGCAGCATCCTCCTCCCCGCGCCAGCTTCCCGTCCCTTCCCTGGAAATGTCGCCGGGATGCGGGCGGGGAGGAGGGTGGCGGCGGGAGCAGGTGCCGGCGGGCGGCAGCTGCTCCCGACCCGGCCCTGCCCGACCCTCTTCCCAGGGCGCCGCTTCCCGGCCGGCTTCCCCCGGCGCCGGCAGCCGGGGGCTTCCCCGGGGGCGCCCCGGGAAACCCCGGTCCTGCCGCCAGGGAGCCGCAGCCCCTCCCGGCCCCTAGCGACACGTTTTCCAGTGGTTCTTCACCTCTCCTCGGGATAAAAATCCGCTGGCAACCAGGGGAGGCTGAGGCTGCCTGGATTGCTTAGCAGTCAACTTATTGTCAATCCCGTATTGCACCATTTGCTCCGTGCTGAACTACATCTTCTGGTTTATTTATAAGGAAGCCTTCCCTGCAGTGTCAGGCTTGGAGCTGGCAGAGGGGAGACCTCAGATTTTCAGGGTTTGGCTCTCATATCTGGGTTGTCACCAACATGTGTGGTGACACATGGTTTGCAGCCAGATGCTTTTGCAAAATGGATGAAATCTCAGATAGGCTCCTAGGTAATTGTAAGTTACATGTCATCTGGCAATAGTATTATAGGTAACAGGTGATAAATAGCTTTCTACAAATGTAATATACATGCAGCACAAATCTGCAGAGTTTTCTAAAGGAAATTAATTCGTATGCACATCAGTGGACGTTAGTGTCATCATACTTACATAAATCACTCAGGACTTTGTTCTAGCAAAAGCCATTTAGGCAAGCAAATTATTTAACCTTTATAAAGAAACTGTTATATACTCTTATCACTGTCAGGTCGTTTTTTTTTTTTTAATTTAATTCCAAATTCAAGATAAGCAAAGGCCTTCTAAAAAGACTTACCTGCTCCACCTCTAAAAGTTTACAGCATTAGAAGTGAAGGCCACGATAAACATAAATCTTTAGCTTTCTAAAATCTATGAGAGTTAGATATTTAAATGCCTTTATCAATCAGGGCCTAAGATCCTTCTAAGTAGACAAAATAGGAACGTAATTTGATTAAAAACATAAGATCAAAAGAATTGCTATAGTGAGTTGGACATTCAGGTCAATATCCTGCCTCTGACCGTAGTCATTAGCAGATGCTGAAGGGGAAAAATACATAAGAAATGGTATTTGTATACAGTGATCTTTTCCTGGCATAGCCTTTCAAGTTCCAACAATCAGTAGTGCAGGGATTCCTTAAACTGGGGGTTGCCTTCAGACCATCATATTTAATAAGCTACTGTATTTCTCTACTCCCCTCCCCCCTTTTTTTTTTCACACCCATTTATACTTTGATCTCAACATCATTTGGTGTCAGTGGGTGCCAAAATTCAATTAGGAGCTGTGTGAAAAAGTATTTCCTTTTGTTTGCTATGAACCTCCTGCCTCATAATTTCATTCAGTGCTCCTCAGCTTTATATGTGACAAGGAGTACATACTGGGTTTGCACAAGGTGCCAGTTGGCAGCAGTGTCCTCTCACACCAGAGCAGGTAGTTCAAGTTTATTATATTAAACACTGAGCTGGAAGATCTGTAGATGCCAATGCCCTCAGTCTATATGTTGAAAATTCTAGATGCGAATAGTGGGTGGGAGAGCTGTTATGCAACATGGACACTTGTGCACAAATAATTGCTCTGAACCCATGAACTGATTTCACAAAGGCTACTGAAGAACTATCTGGTGAGAATTAACTCCTTGCACCATTGATTTGAATCAAAATCTAACTGACAGACTGATGAAAAATTCCCTATCTTAATACATTTCTCTACTATTCTGAAAAGAAGATAAAAGATCTTATTCTTGAACTGTGATTTTTCATTTTCAAGAAGCACAATAAATATACTAGAAGTATAGAAAAGTTAGAAGTATATTAAAAAAAATAGAAGTATACAAGACCCAAGCTACATGTAAAGGGGCATCTATCAATGAACACTACACATCTAACATCACTTCTAATTGCTCTGCTAGGGTTCATTTTAAGGAATGTGCATGCTGAACAATGTGCATAGATTCAAAAGCTTATTGTAAATCTTCCACAAAACATATTTTTAAAATGTGTAGAAGAAGATTTACAATGTGGAAGATTTACAATATTTTATGATTTTGAAGGACTTGTGATGCAAATTCTCCCCAACAGTAGTGCTGAGATGGAATCATGCTTGAGGAGCACAAGTACAGACCAGGTTAAGATCACAGAAGTCTTCCCTGTCTCGTCATTAGCCCTGCTTTAACTACCTCGTAAGAACAATAAAGGAACAAAAGACAGAGAAGTATAAACACATGGTCAGGACCCCAAAACACAGAAGTGCTCAGAGTTGAAAATCTTCAGCAGACACAACTTGAAAGAACACAGGCCTCCACAGCAAAAAGTCAAAGTGAAGAACAGTAGAAACTCCATAGAGTTTCACAAAAAAAAAAATTTCTTAGAAAATAAATAAATTGCATTAAAAAAAACTTGAATGCTGGAGTTCTCATGCCCAAAAAGACTAAAAGAAGAGGAGACTGAGTGGCATCATTATTAAGATAGGAGAGAAAGAATATTAGTTAGTCTCAGAATTAAGCCTTTCAGAGTAAACATGAGAATGGTTTACCACCTACAAATGATATTACTTATATATATATATGCCTTCTTTAAATGAAAATACATTAGCTTGAATAAATTTTATAATCCTAGCACCCTTTAAAACAATTTAGACTTTTTCTATTCCTATAATGAATGAATTAAACTATTTTTTTCACTTGTTTGCTTCACGCCTTCCTTTAAATGTGAAACTTAGGGACATTCTTAGGAATATTCTGAAAGCATGCTAAATGACACAACATTAGCTCTTTTGACTTATGCTCATCACAATTACATCACAGCTTTCCTGATGATGAGTTCATAGCTAAGGTAGGGTTTTATTTTGCACTTGTACCACGGAACTCAACCTCAACTTATTTAATGAAGAATATATCTTTACCTTACTTGCAGTACTTTTTTCTGTGAATACAGAATGAGTTTTCTATGAACTTACAAGTTCATATGCTAAATACCTTGTGTTCAAAATGGTTAAAAATTAAATCATTCAAGAAATTTAGCATTTCTGTTGACCTCTTTTTTGACTTGGATAGTCTTAAAAATGAAATAGCACAGTTAATCTTTCCATATGGTTAATTAAGTAAAAGCCTGTGCACAGGGTATGAAAAAAATGATTTTATTAAATTATAATTAAACTCATCTATGCATGGTTATAGCTAATAGCTGTAACTGCACGGGCTGTAAATAGGTTTGTGCCAGCGAGTTTGATGGCTCTTGGGAGGGGTCCTCCAAGGGAGCCTCCAAGGGAACTCAGCCCGTATCAGTGCTGTGGGAGTTGGCTGCAGCAAGTCTGCGATATGGGGCCTGGATGCATGTGTCACCCTGCTTCAGTGGCTGAGGAACTGGTTCAGAAATCTCTCTGCCGAGGTTTTATGCCCCTGCCTTAAGTAAGATGCTTTTCCCTGGCACTGCTGCTGTCTAATGTGCACAAAGAAAGCATCCATGCGGTGTGAGTGAGGCGGACACCGATGGGAATATTTAAAGCACACAAACACATGAGCTCTGGGTCTACAGCCTTTCAGGCACCATGTAGTGTAGGTTTCAGGTAAATATGGGTCCCCTAAACCAAAGCAGAGGCTAAATTCACTAGTGTGCTTTAGCTGCTTTGTGCTGTTCTGCTGATGCATACCAGATGCAAACACAATTTAAATGGCTGGTGTGCTTTGAACAATTTGTGCTGTTGTGACATCCCGGTAAAACTGTGCTTAAAGTAGATTTTTAAAAAGAATAAAACAATGTAGTGCAAACTGATTTAAGACTGATTATATCAAATCTTCACTTGAAGTTTTGAGTGATATAATTGTCTTTGGGTTCCTTGTTTATAAAACACGAATGAAATGCTTCATATCCTACATACGGTCAGAATTTTCATATATTACTTCATAATCAAATGTCAGTAAGCTGATAGAAATCAGTGAATTTCTAGACAATGTGAACACTGGGAATTACAGACAGGGATATGGAATAGAAATAAATAATTAATTCTTATGGGGTTCCTCCTTAAGCCAAGTGTTACAAGTTACAGATTGCATTTAAAGTCACTCAGACATCTTAAACACAATGTCTACACTTGGCAATCTAACTCCATCCAGAAA